TAACTGGCGTATTTCGTTTAAGGTGAAGCATTCGACAAGTGAATCGGGTAATAAATTAGTTGTTGCGATACCCACAAGGTCTGGTTTATAGAGGTGCACGTGCGGCAGAAGGAAAGTGGAGCCGAGGTCTCGTTCAGCCATCGTGTTGGCCTCCTGCATGCAAGAGTCAATTATTTACAAGCTACAGGGGTTCCGCAAGGGTGCACCCTAAAATGCATTTTAGGCCCACTTCTAATAAAGTGATATAAATAAATATGGATTTTCATAAATAATGTGTAAATGCTAGCTCTAATATTAAGTGCAGATAATAAAAATACTTCAATTCAAAACACTATGTACCTAATATAGTAACAACAATAGAAAAGCTATATTATAATTTATTTTAAAAACTTCTACAATTTGTGACATAAAAGTAATATTTTGGTGTAGATTTCTTATTAGAAAACCTGATGTGTAAGACGAGTAGACGATGCCGCTCTGCCTGTACTAGCTGGCAACGTCCCTCCCACGGAACGAGCTTCTGATAAAGTCCTGCCAAATAAATTATTAATGTCGTATGGTTAGGTCAAAACTTTAAGAATCATATATAAAGCTATAACGGCACTTTGCCATTGTGTGTAATAAGAATGCTTACAATTCTCCAATTCTTCTTTCTGCATCAGTCCATTCTGACAATTCTTCTTGGCTGTTGAAATTAAAATATTAATATGTTATTTCTGAAATAATAATTGAGGACTGTGCATCGGAACTAAATAAACCATAAATTATTTAGTAACATCTAGATTCATCTATTTGATTTGATACCACACAAACACTAGTTAAGTTTCTTCTGAATTAAATAACTAGGTATCAACTTGTTCAAATATTTACCTGTAAGATTTTCTCAGTGAGTCAAATCTTGAAAGATCTGCTTCCGAATCTCCTTTACGTACTGACGACATATCATCTCTTTCATCCTTACCGGCCTCATCAGGTCGAATTGTCGTCGATACTTTGAAACCAGCTGACACTAAAGCACCTAAAATTAAATAACAAATGAATATAACAAGGTTTATATTAATAACAGCAAAAAGGCAATGATCATACCTTGTTTATTATGTCTGTCTTTATTCGCACTATAAGATGACTCCATACTATGCTTTCTTCTCATCTGAAATTGTTATTATCAGCATTAAAGTTTGTTTTAAATGTTGTCTGCAGTGAAAACTTGGAGCTCTGTTTCGGTCTCACATAAATTGCCTAGAATGGTGAGTTTAAGAGTTTTACTAGTGTTCCCTAGTGAGCACGTAATGCATTTGTATGAAGATTTGTAGTTTTGATAAATACTGCTAGCGGCTATATGCTGGTTCCCATACTATGGAATACGATGGAAACTGAACGTAAATATATAAAATACTCATACTAATACCTCTGCTCTCAAAACTTATGTAGCTTTAATATTTTTATTATGAAACTACTCAGACATCATATAATACAGATTATCTTGTCTTCTTTATTCTTTAAAAGAATTGTGAAAATGAATGAATGAAAATGAATTGAAATAAAACTGGAACGCTAACAACTCGATGGCAAATATCATACTATAAGTTTCTCAGCAGTAGTTTCTCCATTATAAATATACAATGAATATGACAATAATTAAACAATAATAATATTGGTTTTATTTCACGTAAAAAAATTAACGTACCTCGTCATTGTTAGCAACTGCTCCCGATTCTAAATAGCTAATCAGTTTAGCTTCGCTACTCAACTCCAAGCTCAATTTCTTGGAAATATTCTCACGGCTACAAGAATTAATAAAAGATTAGAAATGCATTCAATTTTAAACTGTTAATTTTTTGGGAACACTGTTTGTTAAAAATTCATCGAAAATTGTAATATAAAAAAACAACATAAAGAGCTTGAATGTACAAAATAAATTATCGCTTCTCTGTAATAATTTTCAGGTGAAAGAATCTTTGTATTGATATTTTTATTTATTGCAAAACGGATCCGGTACTGCAATACCATCTTTAATCTCTTTAGAAACTGTATCAATTAAAAGTGATCGCAGGAATTGAACAGAAAAAATATTTCCTAAGTTTCCTGAAAAAGTTGAATGATTCAAAATGAAAATCAAGCAATAGAAAAAAATATGTCCTAGGTAAGTTCCTTGAAGAACTCTGTACCTGTCTCCGTGTAGGGGATGCAGCCGCGCGCGCGGTATTAGCACCGCGGGCGGCGGTGGCGGCGCCTCGTGCTGTGGAGGCTCCGATATCACACACTTTTTACCGCTCGGCACCCGCTATCATCACATAAAGAAAGGTTATAATAAATAGCCGTTTACTAAATGAACGAGGCTGCTCCTTCATTCAGTAAACGTGTGACAGCCTCGAATACGTAAGTTAGAGCAAAACAGAGAAAAACAGTCCAATATATATCAAATATCGATTTTAAGAATACAACCCCAGAACCGAGAGCCCATCTTAACGTGAGATAAAATGTGGTCTGCTTGCGCGTGCGTTGAATGCCCATTCATCAAACAAGCGAGGCAAAATACAAGTCTTGTCAATCTTTAATGCCCGGCTGAGTAGTTCTTAGAGAATTGGAAAAAACAGACAAAAGCATCACTACGATTATAAGTTTTCATAAATTCCAATATCACACTTTGTTGGTAGGGCTGAACTCGGCAGGCTCCTTGCCAGATCCCGGATCCTTTCCCACGGAGGGTACTCGCAGCGGGTTTTAATAAGTAGGCCAGTCTCGCTTATGATTGTCCTTTTCAGGACGGGTACGGGGCTGGAGAATCCCGATTTAAAGCTTAAGGTTGCATTTAAAACACTTTGTCGACCCCGTCCACTTAATTGGAATGAAAGGATGAGTCTTTCATTCCATTCCAATTAAGGTTGGGTGAATATAGCAGCGCCATGTTTTATAGAGCGAACGAACTTGTTTGGGGGAATTTAATATAAGCATAACGGTTAGTTGACTTTCCAAAATACCTTTGAAGGCATATAAGGCAAAGATGCATTTTGCACGCTAGATGTATCCCCCGACTCTCCTCGCTCGGTGATAAGCGCCCGTCGATCCGCTCTCTGTTTCGACGGTAGCGCACCCTATAAAAATGTTAAAACATAGATAAAACAAATTGTTTAAAAGGAAAGGAGGTGGTTTTTTTTTCAAAAAACTTGAAAACAACAAAACTTAACGCTTCACTGAAAACTAAATAAAGGTTTGTTCATCGATCATGTGAAAAATGAAGGTGTCTCATATTCTAAATGCAATCACGATTTCCAAAATATAAATGTACATACCACTACCACAATGTATTAACTCGAGTTCAAAACTTCAAATACACTGGGAGAGTCTTACCCAGTGCAAGCGAAAATAGTAACTGGCAGAATTGAATCATTACGCATTCGAACGGCTAGTTTTAATCAGTTGGCAGCAACATTTACTTTGATAAGGTGGGAAGACATGTTTGCATCATGTCAATAAAAATACCATATGGGTTTCATACATTTAGTATAGTTAAAAAACCACATACGATAGCAACCACAACGACACAAGACCACATATTAACGCTAAATCACTGTTTCTTGGGTATAATCCTCAATAATGTAATAATAATCCTCAGGCAACGACGATTTACCGCAAATGCGAAATGAAAAATATGTTGTTCATTTTTTATTTATCCTTTTCCACATCTATTTTGTATTATCTTATCAATACTAAGTTTTCACTTGAATATAAAAAACCAGAGAGTATCTGTAGCATTAGGATATATATATAGAGTATTTTCGACATATGCAATTCATCCGTTTTAACTTTGTGAACTATGTGTAAACTATGTTTCAATATAAAAGTTTATACCTGATGAAGCGTAGGCATGCTCTGAATACAGGCGACAATAGAACGTGGCTGACGACGCGGTCTGCGGCACGATAAAACAGCGCATGCAGCTAAAACTACTGACAGTAGTGCTCCCGCCACAACCAATGAGATCAGAACCACTGAAATCAATGAAACAGTAATTATTTATAAACACTCTATTATCAATAATACTATATGGTAAGTAAAGATAAGTCACCTTCTGAAAAAAATACGGAAAGAAAAAAATATGACCACATTACGCTGGTTCAGATATTAATCAATGACAAATGAGATAGTGCTAAATGGCACTTTGAACTTTATATTAGCTCGCTTTAAAAAGAAGTTATTGTTTCTTTTATTTCCATGAACACCAAGAATTTAATCAAACTATTTTAATGACAAGAAACGCATCAAACTGAGATGTTAATCGGGCTCAAGATCCGAAAGTCTTAAGATGTTTCAACATCTGCTTTGAATTTTTTTGTAATAAAAAAATACTTATTCAAACTCGACGTCTAGCACAACACAGTAAAACTTTTGTTACCAGTTCCATCATGGTCTGGTATTACTATTAAGGTATTACGCCGCTTTTTTCGCTTCATCTGCTGTTATTAATATTTTCAAACATTGATTCGTCTAAGTTTAAAATTTTATGGATGGCTAGAATATCAGGAACTCAATAATGTTATCAATTACTTATATAAATTTTGACATAATGGTTACCTTATTATATTATTTTTTATTAATATTCTCAAATAACTCATTATGATATTTGATCAATTTTGAGTTCATATTATTGTACTGTTTAATCTCAGCAAATTTTCATCGTAAACCTCCATCATCTTTACGAAGATCGTTTGATTTAGTTTCTTATTTTTAATTGTTAGTTAGTTAGTTACTCGATTACTTAATTACTTAAGTGCAGAGAGGGAGTGATCAATATCATCGATACTTTTTATTTAATTAGAATGGTAACACTGACTTTGACATTTCGTTAATGTAAGGCAAGTTGCGGCAATTTTGGTAGGCATTCTGTTTCCGATCGCCGAGGAGTAAAGACATCTGACGACATCATGCTCATCTCGTTATATTCTCGTAGGAAAAGTGATAAAATGGAATAAATCCACATTGGTATACACGCCTGCAGTGTTATTTTAAAAATAGTCCTCTGATATAGACGATCTATTTGGGCTTCATAATAGCTCCTGACTACCCGTCGTCATATATTTCTTTTCGCTATTTGGGTTGATTACCTAAATATTGATGAACATTTGAAAATACGCTCACTAGTAGCGAAAGTAACAAGTGCTTGAAAAATATATCAGTCCTGTTGGGTCTCGAGTAGCTTAATAGTTATTGCACTTGTGGATTGAGAAAGGTTGTTGGGTCGACTCCCATCTCGGGGTACCCGGGGGCTGGTGGATTTTTAAGCACTTTTCATTAAAAATATGTAACTCATTCTATTTTTTATATGTTATAAACTTAAAATAATAATTGATACCTTTAAGATTAATCTGACAAGAACTGCCGGCGTACCACTGGAAGCACTCGCAGAGTACGCGGCTATCATCTCGCGAGTAACAGGCTCCGTGGTAGTTACACCTCTCACAGCCAACAGGCTCCGCTGAAATTTTGATACAAGCACCTTTATAATAATATAAAATTAAAATAAACAAAAAGCAGTGCCATTTAAATAGTAACAAGGTTAAGGTATCGTCACGGGTATGCACCGATATTCACCTGAGCAAATCCGTCCAGGGTACAAAGTGTTGACGCTTAGGTCAGCATAGCCTTCTAAGCAGCTGCAAGTGTATGTCCCTCTCAAATTGAAGCACTGCGCATGCTCGGAGCAGTCATGGAAATGACTACTAGTACACTCATCAAAATCTGCAACAATAATGATTCCAGTAATCTGGTCAAAAAGTTCAAAATATCGTATCACAAGTATAAGCGTAAAACTCACCGCTGACATCCAATTTATCAACGAGGTCTGCAGCTGCATGGACATCAGTACCACCGAGGCTATAGTTGTTGTTTCTTAAGTACTTCTCTATTACTTCCTTAAGACGGCTTTCGTGAGCATTATCAGAAAGCTGAAATTTTTGTAACAATATCAGTGTAAATGTTCTCACAAGACTGAGGCAATTATTCGATTGCCAATAGCGAAAATCAAAAGAGACAGATGAGCTTATTAAAAAAGACAGAGAATTTGCATTGGCAGTGTGAACAGGCAGCTACTAACTACATATTATTATATGTCGCTTCTACTGATATACGATCTGTATCTATTGTATGTTTGGTAGCCGGAAAACCTGCCTAATAAACTACTGCCTACATAACATTCTGTATACTTAAAAGCTTATTTTTTGTTATTTCGTTTAATGGCGTTACGTGAAAATTTTATTATAGGCAAAGATAAAATTACCTGTACATAAAAATCATTCAACACCCCCTGGTACATATCGCCATCTTGTTTCTTAATAGGCACTGGATGGAAGCCAGTAATATGAACACCATGGTACACGTCTCTCAAATCTGACTGCATCACCATTCTATTAATGCCCTCATGTGTAGCGAGTGCTAAAGCATGGTATTGCTTGCTAGAGTTATCGGAAAGACTCTCATGGAATTGAAGACGTTCATTCCCTTGGGACCCAAGAGCTAATTTCACGGAGTATGTATATGTTGCTGAAATAATTACAATTATGAAAGTTAACCGGTGATAATGACTAATGTTCAATTAGGCACATTGGGCTATTCTTTCATTAAATAACTTTAACTTACGTTTACAAGGTCTATCTGGGAACATTCTGGCAAATCCTGGTCTACATACACACTTCATGATACCGTCTATTCTGTGACAACGTTCATTACGGGATGCTTTGCAGTCGGGCTGACATTCTTTAGTGTAAGAGATACCTGAAATGGATATAAAATGATTAAGCTATATCTTTTAACATATAAAACTTCTGTAATTTATTATTCTTGATTTACTACCTGCAGTATTGACAACGTTAGTGGTCTCTAAGAAAGGTGTTCCAGCAAGAAGTATTTCTCCAAATAGTACTTGAGATACACCATTACTATTCACTTGTTCATTTCTTGTAACCCCATCGTAATCTCCAGTTTCAATGTCAGTGCTGATTGGAGGTGCTTGGCCACCATTCTGAGACTTATTCATAACAACGAAGAATGTATCATTATCACTTTCACTTTCAGCGTCTATCTTTTGCACGTTCTCTGTAGTTTCCTTATCTTTTGATATTAAGTTGTCGGTGTCTTCATAGGACATAGAAATATCATCTAGAGGTAATTTTGTATGAAGCGGTACTTCTTTGACGCTAGTAGATTCAACTTGCGGTACAGGAATATGTTTCGTCACTGTTTCTATTATCGTTGTCGGATGTACTTGCGTATGAACTTCTGTTACTATATCTACTACAGTAGACGTGTGAGTATTTGTTAAAACTAATGTTTGTGTTACAGCACCCTCTGATTGACTAACAAGACTAGTTTTAGTGTGAGTAACAGTCAAAGTATGTGTTAGATTGACATAATTTATACTTGAAATGATTTTAGGTGGCTCGGATAGAGTTTTTGTCAATGTGACGACCGTCGTTTTAAATTCAGTTTTTGTAGGTAAAACTTCGTCTGTTATTTTAATTTCATTACCAGCATGATGTGTTGGCTTAACATTCGAAAGTACTTCATCTAAGCTTGGTGTGATTGTGTTCGAACTTGTTTTTTCTACAAAGCTTGATATGTCTAACCTAGAAATCGATGGTAACATAGAGTCGTGAAGAATGTCTGTAGGTTTTAATATGGTTTCGTCAATAAATGTTTCAGAGCTTTCTAAAATACTTGAAGATGTAACTTGAGAAATAGTATCTAGAGAAGCACGTGTTGGTATAGGTCTTATAATTTTTCTAGTAGATACGTGTCTTGTTGGATATGTTAAATCTGGCCGATAATGTGTCCTCGTTGGCTTTATTATAGGTGTTGCTATAGAAGGCCATTTTGATTTACTGTTAGATGTTTTCTTGTCTTCATTACGAACAGGATATGGTTTACGAGTTCTATTTTTATTGTTTATGGGAATAACTTTCATTTTATCAGTAGTCACTTTTTCCTCGCTGGATTCATCAACAATAGAATCACTTATATTTTCACTTGAAATAGACGTTTTAGTAGTAGGCTCGGTACTTACTTCCTTGGAAGTTAAAGATATTTTTTCTTCAGTTATAGGTTTTTCAGAACTTGTTACTTCAATATATTCGGAGGATGTCTCCATTTCAGATGAAAAAGAGCTCTCTGGAAGTGGTGTCTGAATTGTTTCGGATACTTTAGCTGACTCTACAACTTCAGGAAATTGTATAGATGACGGACCGAAATTAAAACTAGATGAAAATTCGACACCAGATGACGTTAACCATCCCGAGGAAACTGGAGATGGGAAAACAACATTTGGAATACTTGGGGCACTGATTGTTGGACTAGGCATTTCATTCACAATGACTTGTGTTGGCATTTCTTTTGGAGGAGGCAGCAACTGAGTAGAAAGAAAGTTAAAAGTAAAATCAAATGCCGGTCTGTATGTAGTAGGTTTTCTCAGGGGTCTTTGAGTACTTGGTACTTTTGGAAGCATTGTCCTTGGTGGTTTGGTTCTGTATGGTGGTGGTGTTCTCGCTGGTTGAACAGGCCGAGACGTAACTGGTGATCTCGTTACTGGTCTTATTGCTGGAGGTGTTCTTGGTGGAGGTGGGCTCATTCCCATTATAATTTCATCATTTGTTGAAGGTTTAAAATTATAATCCATTGTAGGCGGAGGAGGAGATAAATCAATTATTTCACTGGACGATCTATTTAAATCTAGATTGTACGGAGATATGGTAGATTTTTCTGAAACTTTTTCTACTATTAATGGTTTTTTATCTTGTATGTGAACAGTAGATGTAATAATATTTGATTCATTAGGTAAAGATATATTTTTGGGGTGGGCGAAAATAGGTCTCGCTGGGCGTTTATATTTTGTGTCGGGTTGAGAGTATCGGAAAGGTGGAATCCTTTGCGTAGATGGAGGCCGATTTGTTGAAGTTAGTCGTTTTGTTGTTGGGGTTTGTTTTGTTGTTGAAGATTCTGTATTGATTTCTTCACCAATGTTGAGTTCCAAATTCTCTTCATAGGACATATTTGTTGAATTTTCCATTAATTGATTTATTTGCCAATGAGGCTGTTGCAGTTGGTGATCCAACGTTATTGCTGTATTAATCGTAAATGGCCTTGGTTTTGTATATGGACTTTCGGCATATATCGGTTTTATTGCATTTGATTGGTAAGCATTCGATTTATTTAAAGGCTTAAACGGCTTTTCAGTTTGTGTTCCTGGGTTAAAATCTACAAGTTGCACGGACTTGTCCTTGTTATCATAATATCCATCTTTTGTAGTTTGATTAGATGTTTCCATTACTTCTTCCTGCAATAATGTTAACTCAGTCGTAGATTTAGAAAGATTGTCTGCTTCACTTGATGAGCTAACAACTGGTATTTTCATGGATTCTTGACTTACTTCACCATCCAATTCACCATCACTTTCAAGTTCCTCTTCTCCGTCATAAATCTCTTCGGAATTTTCATAAACTTGTTTCATTCTTTCGGTTGTGATTTTTATAAACTTAGCTGTAGTAGTTTCCTCACTATTATCTCTTATAGGTATATCGTAAGCTGGTTGTTTTATAGATCCTAAGTTAAAATTATAAGGTACATAGTTAGCGTTATTGGCATGTATTGCGGTACTTATGCTTGTTTTTTCTGTTTCTGGTTTACTGAATGGCTTTCCAATGCTAAAGTTAACAAGTTCTGGCTTGGTGATTGGATTCTGAGGCCAAAATCCTGGAGGTTTTCCTATACTGGAAATTTTTTGACCAAATTTGGGAATTCCATCTTTGTTGTAGTCTTGTAACAATGGTATAGCTTTTCGTGTAGTTGCGTCTACTCTAATATTGTTAATGTGACTTAAAGTATTATCATTTGCCAAAACACTAGAATACCACCCATGAGAATTTGTGGGTATATTTGGAATAACTTTGGCAGGCCTCTGCTGACTATTTACTGTCACTTCTTGTGAATATTCTGTAACTGGCTTGATATCATCATTATTGGAATTTCCTATTGAACCATAATCGTTAATCATAGGAAAATTAGCGTGACTATTTTGGGATGATAATATGATATTCTTCTCCTCTTTATTAGTTTGCTTAGTAAAACTACTCTCTTTTACTAAACTAGGGTAATTTATATCTGTTTTATCACTTGTACTCTTGTTCCATCTATTATCGCCAACATTGATATTAGTATGACTAGTATCTGGTTTTTCATATACAGTATCATGATTTTGCTGATGATAAGATTCAAATGGTACTGAATCATCTTCTACCCTTATCGCAAAATTTGTGCTAATAGGAATATCCGTATTAATTTGTCCATTATTTTGTGCTATTCCAATAGGCACTGTAATACTTGATCCAACTACTTGACCCGACTCTCCTATATTATTAGCAACATTTGTAGCAGTATTTAAGGTAACTGAATATGTGTTTTCCTTATGGTTTATTTCATTTGTTTGCACTGTTTTATTAACTGTGGTTGAAGAATAAGTCGGGACTGGGCCGTGGATGTGATTTTGATTCGTGTCTTCAGTTTGCACTCTATTTGGTGCATTATTTTGAGTATAGTGATTATTACCATGTAAATTATTTTGGTGCGCGGGAGGAATGTGAATTGTATATGTTGGAGTTGGTTTACTGTTAGGTGCTTGCGCTGCGAAATAAATTTCAGAAGTAACTTTTGGTGGTGCTTGTTCATGTTTTGGTGTATTTGGACGAGGATGTTGAATATTAAGAAATACTTTCATATCTTGTATAGGTTTGTTTTGAATAATCGGTCTTTGTATATGAGGTTTATTCTTATTATTATCATAGACAGTATCCGTGTTGAAATGCGTTATTGGTGGTGGAGGTGGTGGTACTGCTAAATAATTTTCATATTCTTTATCAATAACATCTTTACTATTTTTTAGTTTATCACCTCTCATTGGCTTATTTTTTTCGAACTGATCATTATTATTTAAATGATATATGTCTGGATTGTACACAGTTATATGAGGTCCCACCTGAACATGTGTTTCCTGATTGCTAATAGGTGAGGGTATTTTAAAATCATACGGGAGTTTTGAATCCTTCCATTTCATTTTTAAATCGTTCTTAAAAGGTTGATCTTTATATAATGGTGGTGAAGGTTTATAAGCTTCTTGTGGTAAAGGGTTATTATTAGGCTTTAAATTAAATTGTTTATTGTTGTTCGGCACGACATTATGTACGTTAGTCATTTGTGGAGCATCAATGCTAAAACTTCCAAAATATCCTGGTTCTGGATACGGTAGGGGATCGTCAACATAGTCACCAGTTTTATGGGGCTCAGATGATCCTGCGAACACTAAAGCCGTAGTGCTACCATGAGGAATCAATACATTAGCTACTTTTGATGGTTGAATGTCTACTAGAAATGGTTTGCTAGAATCATTGTTACCTGTCATTGCATGCTCACTACCTGTTTTTACTCTCGTATTCACTACTTCAGAAGAACTTGGGTTATTGTCTAGAATTTTTTCTTCTGTTGTGATGTCATTCAAAGGTCGAAAATCGACATGGTGTTTTATTGCTGATGGTGTTGGTTTAGCTAATGAAGGAATATAATCTAGAAATGCAGGTCGACCATGATTTCCCAGTATCGTATGTGTATTTTTCATATGTTCGATTTTCATTAAATTGTCATTTGGAACTTTCACAACAGCAGGAACACGATGTATATTTGGAGGTAAATAGTTTAGATTTAAATGGGAATTTATATTTGGTCTTGAATTCTGAACTCTATTTGGTTTTGATTTTATACGAGGAATTTCTGGTGGTCTAAGATCAAACGAGTCATCGATTTTGGTAGCCAATAGGGCTTGTTCACTAACTGGTGGTTTTTCTTGTATTAAATACTCTTCATTACCAGCGGCAAAGCTATCAATAATAGATGGGCTAGGTGGATTTTGCAACTTGATTCCACTAGCGGCTAAGGTCAATGGTCCGCCTACTGCTGGCTTTCCAACAATCACATCTGAATTAGCTGTAATTATCTCACCAGGGCTAATTGGTATTCCTCCATTGACCAGTGGACTTTCATGAATTATTTTAGGTGGAACTATATGTGCTTTCGGTTGCTTATGTTCTGCTGCCCAAGCTAGGTTTTGATGCAATGTGGCATTAGTGAAAGCTATTTGTGATTCAGACGTTTCCAATTCATCCACAGGTATATATATAGGGAAATTATTTGGTTTCATTTCTAAATCGGTATCAAGTCTTTTATTCACGTTGTAAGCCGTTAGTCTTACAGCCGGTTTCAAAGTAGTAGTCGTTGTTGTTTTATTAAGCGTATCTTGTCGTTTTATGAAACCACCAGTCATCTTTTCAAATACAGGTGCTAACTGTGATAAACCTTTTATACCCAAGCTTCCAAGTTTCAACAAATCGGCGACAACAAATTTGTTTTTGTTTGGTTTTTGTGGTTTTTCTGGTTTGTTTTTATCGGGTATTTTATTAGTAGGGAGTTTATTTTTTGGTGGAGAAGGTGCCTGTTCATTTGTTAATAATTCGCTTTCTTCAACGGAACTACTATCTTTTTCATCGGAGTAATCGTTCATAACTTCAGTATATTTTTCAACAATTTTGTCAGTGGGCGCTACGTATAAGCTCGTTTCATATTCGTAAGGTCCATATTGTGTTTTCTTTTCAAGTGATTCTTTATTAGTTGGTCTTAAGTCAAATTTGGTCGCTCCGTATTTTGATGTTTTGTACCCATATTTTAAAGAAATCGAAGTATCCACATTTGTATACTTGGTCTTCAATCCTTCCGTTTTTGTATGACTGCAGGAACACGAAGTTGTACACGGAAAATGACCAACTTCAGACGGTTGTATCAAATCAAAATTGTTACCATCTTGGTTGTCTATTCTTTTCTCAATTTTAGGTAAGTTGCTCGCAAACCCACTTATTGGTGCAGTCGGTTGAATAGTCTTCACCTCCATGTATTTTGTCTAAAAAAATATGAAAATATTAATTTCAATTTCATGATGAATAGCGTTTGGAAATATTAGCATGTTAAAATAATTTATGGGCAATGGGCATGTTGTATACGAGGCGATTAAGTGATTGATATTTCATATTAGTAGGTTCTATAAAAGCGATGCATTAACATTAGCTGAAATCAGCGTCCATTCCCGGTTCGGAGTAAGGTATGATCAGGTTTTTTCCATCTCTACCAGGGTTCGAAATCTTACTTTTGTTGGCTTTATATCTGCTAAAACATCTGAAGCATAAAGATTCGTGAGCGATTCAGTAGTAACCACTGATACTATGGTCTCAAATGTAGAGATAGCACTCCTTTTATTTTGAACCACGGTGGTCAAATACGTGTATGTCGTCATACAAGTCTTGATGATGTAATTATGTTGCATAAGTTGATGCATCGGAAACATGGCGCTTATCTGTTGATGATTAAATATTGTCGCCACGGCCGAAGATATCAGTGATTGTTTAGGAGGCAAAGATGAGCTGACGTGATAGTGCGTTGGTGATGTTATGTGCATGAGTTTAAGTTTACGCTGAGAAAATAAAATGAATGATGTTAACTTACCTTATTTTATTTAAAAAATATGATAAATAAAGAAAACATTATTTTATTTTATACTAGTATGTTATGTATTAACTCATAAAATTGATTCGTATCTACTTACGTTTTGTTTAGATCCCTATTTTTTGCTTATTAAAATTATTACCTGCTCCGGTTTCCCATCGGAATTTTTGTCTTTTACCAAGACTTCTACACCGTTGGACATTATTTTCGTTGCCAAATTCTTCAGTCTTCTCTCATCTTCTTCAGAACCAGGACGTTCCACAATTACGTCTCGGCCAGGCCTCCAAGGAGAATTATCGTACACTATCGCATTTGTGTTGAATGCTGAAATGTTACATCAAATACTAAGTATTTAGTTTTTATAAAAAATAATTTAATATGTAAGTACATAATGATGGATGGCGTCGATATATAAACAATGTAATATCTATATTTTACCAATCAATAAATAAACGTGAGCACTTATGCCAAGGCCACCATTTCACGTCTGGTAAATTCTAATAAATGGACTAATTTTATAAATCCATGCCTGATAGAAGATATATCTAAGAATTTTGTGCCGAATCAAAAAAAAAACAATTATTCCAAACTTGTCTATACTTATGGAAGACACGTGGTCTCAATTTTATTTGTAGTCGTTTATTATTAAATAAGATGTTTTGTACAATTTACATTTATGACTTGGTAGCAACGTGAAATAAGTATTTTACGACATTGTTCCCATTGACGACGCCCGTTAATATTATCATGAGACAATTTTAATCACTGAACATCTATAAAAAAAAAATTATCACTCAGACCTCGCTGTCTGTCTGTGTGTCATCTGGCTATATCTCATAAACCGTGAAAGTGAGACAGTCGAAATTTTCGTATTTCTATTACCACTTCAACAACAAATAGTAAAAACTAAAATAAAATAAATATTTAAGGGCTGCCACACAACAAACGTGCTTTTTTTTATCGTGTCCGAGTCGCACTTGACCGGTGTTTTTAAGATAATGAATATAATTGAATCACTGGTACATTACCTGCAGAGTGCGATGTTATGAGCGAAGCTGTCTATACATAAAGCTTTATTTACAACCACCTCACGAATCTACAAAAGGTGTAATAGATAACACATTGTGCTTAGTGTTAGATCTAATTTTAAATAAAATGGAATTTAAATGGACTAAATATCGATCATATATAATTATAATCAACAATTTCTTAAATATATCACAATTTCTACTGAATTGCATATTAAAATAAATTCAAAAATAAAATTCCATTTTGCTTTTTAATATATCTATTCTATGTGTATATATATGTACAAATAGTTATTTATTCTAAATAAATATATTATTTAATTATTGAAATATCCTACTTCTATTTTCTACGTGCGCAAATTTTCTACATCATACATTCAGGTGTCCTTATTTTAAATACTTACTATGTTTTTATAAGTATATTTATGATTAAAATTATTTACCAAACACATTACGTCAAATACATTATATTTTAAGTTAGCAAATTTAAGTATTTCTTTTTTAAATTTAGTCCTTATGGCACCTGAATATATTAGAAAGGGGCTGTTCATTAAACACGTGAGGCTCGAAAGGGGGGGAGAGGGGTGTAGTAATATTTATTGTTTCCTCAAACGCGCGATTACTAACCCGAAAAGCGACGTCAAAAATTAAGATTTTTTGTAGCTACTTAAAAATACACGTGATTTTGGTGGACGGGGTAGTCTTAAACCTCACCTTGTATCACCAAGAGGGAGGGGGGTTAATAATATTGAAAACAACATCACGTGATTAACGGACGGCCCCAAACTAGTATGTATGTCTACGATAAGTATCAATTTATATCACAACAGACTCACCTTGAAGGTGGTTGGAAGAGCGGAGATAGGTTTGGAACCATCCAAGGATTCTTCAGGATTCTTGAGGTGTCCAGGTAATTGTCATCATTATCAGTCGAGTCAAGTTCTATTTGCAGTCGTAAGTATCGTTCATAAATAAGCCTTTTACCCTTGATTCATTTGAACCATTTGGTTTCAGATTATCTGTCAGTTTCTCCATTTCTTTTGCATTAAATATAAGATTTTATCAATATTTTAAGCTATCTAATAGCACTAACAGTCAGTTGCACAAACGTCCATTAAGATTTAATGACGCCTTTAAGATCTAATGTATGTCAAAATCGTATGGGGTAATGTCTCGTTATACTAATGAAAATTTTAATGAACGTATGTGCAACTAATTGTAAAAGTATTGTTAGGCATCAAAAGGATTGTTACTGTTTCTATCGCATTAAATAAAACCTGTTATGGGGAAATTAAAAATAAATAAATTCATTATACACAATTATTTATTTTCTCAACATTTTAAGTCGTCTTTGCAATTTACAGTCGTAAGCGAAAGAAATAAAAGTATTACAAAAGATTATTAAGTACTATAGAAATACATACTACAAGATTTTATTCTCATGCAATGAGTTTAACCCTTTCTTTACAATTCCCTACTCATCGCATTAAAATCTGGTAACATAATGACGATATTTTTGGCGATCCTACAAAAATGTTAATACAACTAGTTAAGTATAAAGGAGTATTCCGTTCTTAAAACTAATATTTTATTTAAAACTATAAGGCACTATTCATAGTTAACTTACTATGTTACAAATGTAAATAAATAACTACTTTCATTACTTTATACATCTAACCGTTTTGTCGAAGTTTCACGAAATGCCATCTAATGAGCTCTGTCTTGTGTTATCTTTGAGAGACGATGTGCTTGATAATTTCACAACGTATGTCGGTGAGGCATCGTATCTTATATGTTTACTGATTTCCCCTACTATACTCTCTAAACTTTGTGTACCTGCTTGACTTTCATTCGTTGGCTCTAAATATTTTTCCGTACCATAAATGATCGTATCGTCAATAGTGTTCGCTTCTGAACTAGGCAATACGTCAACGGAAGGAAGGAGAGAAGGTAATACTTTGACATCTTCAAAGTAAATAGCTTCACGTTTCCTTACAACCTGTGTATCTTCAGTTACGACGGTAGATAATACTGTACTAAATTCGCCAGGATGTCTACCTGATACATATAAAGTTACAATGCTAGTCATTTTCGGTGTCGGAGCAGGTTTCTGAGTTCGCGGTCTATTCCTAGAGCGAGATGGTGGAGGCGGAGGTGGGGGCAAATCCTCTCCACTATCCTCAGATTCTTCTGAAAAATCTTCATTACTATTAAAATCAGACAAAATGTTTGGTTTTGGACTATTACTGTAAATATCGTTATTGCTCAGGACGTTTAAGTTATTATTCGGAAGTAGACCTAAGTCCGACTGCCCTAAACCTAACAATGGATTAGCTGTTTGTAAGGATAGAGCCTGTTGCTGTTGTTGTTGCTGTTGAAGAAGTAAAGGTAACAGTAAAGAGTTGATTTGTGGAGCTTGTGCCAATGCCGTTGGAGTTGTGACTATTGTATCTGTTATAAATTCAGTTGCAGTAACTACACTAGTTGTAGGATCAACGATAGTTGTTAAAATAGCTTTACCTTTAAAAGTAATAGATAAAACAGTTTCCCTAGCATCAGTTATAGTGGTAACATAAGAAGTAGATCTAGTCTTGTATTCTGTAATGGGTGTTTGGGCTACCGCCTGCTGTGGTAATAAAGCCTGTCCTTGAAGAGCAAGAAGAGGATTTATTGCGGGCTGTTGGTTACCAAGAAGTAACTGAGATAATAGTAAATTAGCCAACGGAACATTTGCACCAATCTCAGGAGCAACAGTCTGCGTAACAGCTTCAACATTATAAACAGTACTGGGTATTATATGTGAATAAGATGTCTTCCGCCCTCTAATAGTTGTTGGGGTAAATATGACAGTAGTAGTAGGAGTTTCATGTAAAATGTATCTTATAATCTTAGTAGCACCGTTGTCAGCCACATCTGTGGCTTCATGAGCTAGCACTAGCTGTTGATTTCCAAGAGGACCTAGTGTTGTTGAAATTTGATTTCTTAACAAGGTTTCCAGACTTGGAGTGGCAGACAACACATTTTTATACTCTGTCATCTTCCCATTCACAACAGGTATTGTTACTTCAGTAGGTATTTGGTGTGTAACAGTGATCTTACCATCGTTGGCTAGATAATTTAGATTATATCTTTCACCACTGGTATTTTCAAAAGAATTTCTCTGTCTGCTTGATGCTCTTCCTGTAGTAGTACGTGTACGTGACCTGCTGGTAGTACGTGAACTACTAGACCTTGGTCTATCTGTACCACTTCTACTAACAGTAAGCCTTGGTGCTTTAGGTCTAGAAGACAACGTAGTAGCCCTTGACGATGCCCGTGAAGACTTAGCTTTTCTGTATGCGGGACTCGTTGTAGTAGTTCTACTCTCTCCTCGAATTATGAATGGTTGCCTAGCTGATGATTTCGGTGCTGATGCTGTAGTTGTTCTCGTATTACTTACAGTACGGCCCTTATACCTACCAGGTCTATTTTTTTGTGTGGAAGGCGCCGGTGGTTCCGTTTCTGGATCGGGTTCTGGACGACGTGTTACTGCTTTTGAACCAGGTCTACGAAAATTAGTATATTTCCTATTCCCATAATCAACTTGACGTTTTGTACGTCTTTTAAACGAAAATGGCCTAATCGAAACTATATTTCTTTTCGGAGTTTCCGTAGATGGAGTTTCAACTTGTCGTTCTTTTCTATCAGAAGAATCGTAGTCATTGTCTTCTTCAAAGTCTTCCTCCTCTTCAAGCAATTCTTCGCTTTCGTCAACATTTTGTTCATTTTCTTTAATTTCCTCTTCTGGTTCTGGCTCAGGTTGTCTAAAGAGATTTCTTCGAGGGAATAAAGCATTTGGTCTTTGTCTGCGTAGTGCCAGTAGAGGGTTAGAAGTTGCTCTTGTTGTCGTTCGTCTTGTAGTTGTAGTCAATCGGCCACGAGTAGTTGCTATTCTTCTAGAAGGAGGTGTGGTAGAACGTGGTATAATAGCAGTCCCTGGTTGCCTAACTAATGGAGGTCTTCTAAATCTTAACAATGGATTATTAGTGGTTTTTACTGCAGATTCAGTCACTTCCTCTAAAGGCTCAGTTGCGCTTTCCTCTTGTTGTGTGGCTAATGTTTCAGCATCATTTTGATTTGGTCTGAATCCAGGAATAAATGATGACGATACTCTGTTGTTACTCAATCTAGATGAGGCACTTGGCCGAATCTTAGGTATTGCTGATCTGCTTGCATAGTCCAAACTATTACTCCTTATTGAGCTTGATCTAAATCCTGTCCTTCTTGATGTAGGCTGAATACTTCCTCTTGGGAACCCACCAGCTCTAGATGGAGAAGGTATATTAGATGACAATAAAGAGGAAGAGCTTCGACCTGAAAATCTACGACCTTGACTTGACAATCCAGGCGATGCTGATTGCTTCCGATTGGCTCCAAACCCGGACGGTCTAACAGACTTCAATGTTGGAGTAGCTGTAATCGTAGGAGGGGCATCTAAGCGTGTTATTGTGGTTGCACTACTTGGCAAAGGTTGCCTTTTAGGATTAAACGTAGGTCTGTTTCTTGAAGCAAATGGTATTATTACTGGAGTAAATGTTGGTTTCTTTGGTGTGAATGAAAGTCTGCTCTTTTTTCTTGTGTTTGAAATATCTTCTTCTTCGATTTCTGGTCTTGTTTCTGTCGTAGTTTCGGAATCGGCAACAGAACTTTCTATTACATCAGGACTAGCATTAATGATAGTTTCTTCTGTACTTGTAGACGGTCCAGAGGTTGTCGTAGTACCAGGAGTAGTTGATTCAGTATTTAAAGTCTTATTATCACTTGTGACGACCGTTGAATCTCCAGAAATAACGGCTACTTGTGAATATATTACTTTTGGATTAGAATCAGGTGTTGGAGTACTATCATTAGGTTTTACTTCAGCAAAAAGATTGTCGATATAAGTACCTAAAAGAACAGTCGGTGGTATAGAACTCGTATCAGGTAACGCAGTAGGCTTAATTTCTTCCTTGACCACTGTCGGAATTATTTTTGGTTTCTCAACGTTATCTTGGATGAGATTTTTATCTGCCGATCCAGATGGTACTTTGCGTCCTAATTGGTTATCTTCAACTACCTTAGTATTGTCAACAATATTAGTAACAGTTTCTAAACTACTTCTGATTTCAGATGTATTTCCAGCGTAGAAAGTTGTAAAGTAAGTATAAGTGGTGTAGAAAGTGGCTTTGCCATCGTCTTGTTCTAAACTATCGTCTACTAAAGATGGTTTTAATTCAACTTCTAATTCCTTTGGCGGTAACACACTATCAATGTCGATTGGAGTTGTATCGATTGGGCTCACGGTTGGTAGTAACTGAACGGTTGGGTATACAACATTAGAGACAATTTCTTCTCTACTGGTTATAGTAGTTGATTTATCTTTGTAAAGAGTTGTCCAGTAGGTGAATGTGGTATAATAAGTTATAGGTAAATTATTTTCTTCTTCTGGCTCTTTTTTAGGCATGATTGTTTCTGTTACCACATTTGTTATTGTTTCCAAACGACTTTTTATTTTACTGGAATCTTTTCCTATATACATGGTAGTAAAATAAGTAAATGTTGTATAACTAGTCTGTAATAAAAGAGTAGGAGATGGCATTATTTCTTCAATGTTACTCTCTGAACTAATTTGATCTTCCAAAATATTGTTATTGTCAAGTAATTTCCTCTCACCTCTAGAGGAAGATGATTTAACATCGGTTACATAAGTGTTTTCAGACTCCAAAGGATTTGATTCAATACTAAATAACATATCAACTTCAAGTGGGCTGGGTTGTGGAGTTATATCTTTCTTTTCTACAGTTGATTCATCATCATACTGTTCCATACTAACGCTACTTTCTACAGAAGAATTTTCTTCTATGTTAACTGGAGCTTCCATTTTTACTTGTTTGCAATTTCTAAAATCAAACTGTGCTCGTGTATTTTCTGTAGCTAATGGATTGCTTTTTGTAGGTATGAGTTCTTCGGGACCAACATAGTTAGTGTAAACTTCACTTCTGCTGCAAACATTAGCATCACTGCCCACGTAAATAGTTGTGAAGAAAGTGTAAGTTGTAAAATAAGTCTTTACGGCATCTGGCTTAATGCTAGTTATAACATCATCACCTAAGTATGGTGTAGGTGTTTGTGAAGTATATATATCGGCACTTTCGACTGACTCTATTACATCTTTATTTTTAACTAAATCAATTATGCTATTAATTGCAAATGTTTCTGTCGGACGTCCAATACCAACACTTGTTGGAGCTATTTCATCTTCATTGAATGCACCTAATAAAGTTGGGTCCAATTTTGAAAGATCTATAGTAGATGTAATTATATTTGTGATCACCGATTTGTGACTGGCTACGCTAGATGTTTGATCACCGAAAAAGGTCGTAAAGTAAGTGTAAGTGGTGTAAAGTGTTTTGTAGATAAGATCAATTTCATTTTCACTCACTGGAATATCTTCTTCTTCCGAAATGGGCTCTTCGGTCGTTGTAGTTGAACGTTCTGTATTAAAATCAACTTCTTCATGACTTTGACTGGTGGAAATATGCTCTGAAGTTATTACTGATGAAGTAACAGTCGTTGGCTCATTTTCATCTTCAGACGTATTATCAGACAAACTGATGTTACTTTCTTTAATCGTTGTTAGTTTAATTTCTTCTTGTAATTGAGTAGAGTGTACCTCATCTTCCATTACTTCTGTGGATATTGAATTTTTTTCTGTAACTTTTTCCGTTCCAGTTGGTGTTTCACTCGCAGGTTCATGTGAAATAATTTCCGGAATTTCTAAATTAGTAACTATTGATGACTGAGCATTTAAAGATATGACTGCAGTAGGTTCAATATTTAGATTGCTTCTACAAACGACATTTGTAAGATACCCTACATTACTTTCAACAACAACATCTGACTTAACTGATGTAGTAGTTTCTGTGCTTTCTAAAGGTATAAAATAAGTGGTTAAATAAGTCAATGTTTTGTATTCGGTGGTCATGGTTGACATTGTTTCTAAGCCATCAGTGCAAATAACGTCCTCGTAAGTATCATGTTTTGTCTCAGTCGTTGCTTCCAATTCTTCTGATGATTCCTCGCTATGACCACTTTCAGTAGTAGTAATCATATCTTGCTCAGTTTCAGTAGTATTTTCTCCTTCATCATCTTCTTCTTCTTCTTCTTCCTCCTCCTCTTCGGGTTTCTCTGTAACCTCTGCAGCAGTATTTTCTGATTCTTCTTCAGAATTGGTAAATAATTCACTTGTATTAGCTTCAGTAACAACAGACTCAGTAGAAGTTTCAATAATGGTGGAAGATGGATTTAAAAGAGTGAGTGGTTCAGTCGCTTGAGAACTAGAATCTTTCAGAGGTATGACATCCAAATCCTCAGTAAGCTGTGTACTCTCTGTAACAGGTATCATAGTTTCAGATGGCTGAATAACATCTAAATTTAGATTGAAACCGTTATTATGATGAATATTTATGCTATCTGGAATATTACTGACGTCATATTTTACCTTTTGTAAGCTTTCGTCATCAGTAAATATAGGTGACTCGGAATTTTGCTCAAAACCTGGTGTAGTAATACTAGAAGCAGAATTTATATCATGGGCTTTATAAGTTGAAGATGCAACCGGAATGTCAGCAGCAAGAAAAGTGATTTTAGAGTTCAATTTATCAACTGGCCTAGCTGAAGGAAATACGTTTACCTCATTGGGATCTTGTGGTCTACTAACTTCCGTATTGGGAGAAAAGATAATTACAGTGTCGCCAACAACCGTTGTGAAATCTGCAAAGCCGGAATAGGTAAAAGTTTTCTTTGGTCGTGGTTCACTTTTTTGACCAAATAGTTTTTTAGGAAGTTTCGTTTGTTGAGCATGTTGCAGCTGTGAATTCTTCGACTCAACGTTATCAATGTAATAAAAAATAGGAGAAAACTCATTTTTAATAGTAAAAGTCGGTAAATCATAATCGGGTTTCACTTTGACAATATTCGAGTCATCTATTGTATCTTCTTTAATAGGATTGGGCTCTACTTTGATAGGTTCAGTGACTGGCTCATATGCTTTATTTTGTCTATGTAACGTATTAACAGTTTCTAAAATAGATGGCTTAACCACAAAGTCTAATTTCTTATCGCTATCTATAATTGGACCGTCAAGAAAGTTTAGTGCTTCATTATGAACGTATCGTGGAATTTCTTTTACAGTTTGCACTCTACGTGCGGTAGGTTCATTTAATATTTGATTTTCAATATGCTCAGGCGATGATGGTGGACTCCAATATTTTACATTTTCTGGCTCTGGTTTACTGGCGTACACAATGTCCATCTTGCTGCTCGGTGCTAAATAATCAGTATTTTTAAGAATAAATTTGTCTGTATCTATGAAGCCCAAATCTTGCTTGACGTTCCATTGTCCATCGAAATCTGAATGTATTCGTGTTGGTTTTACAATAACAGGATCATCTACATTTGACGGTTTATTATAAAGTACTAAAGATGATTTAGTTAGAAGCTGAGCGTAGATCCGGCCGTTATCTAGTGTGGTGCCGAGAATTTGGGTGGCAAACTCCGTGGTCACACCGTCTTGGATAAATGTCCGAGTCGTGGACGTGAGAAGACCAATTAGTGGTTTAACGCTATGGTACCTCCCAGTCCTCGAGTTGTCGTTTCTCTTGTGGTCGTTAACGAGTAGAACTGTCAAGTCTGAGTCGGGTCATCGTCGCATCGTAGTCGTGTCGTGTGTCGTGGATAGGATAATGGGTGCGTATTTTTTTAATTTTACAATAGTCCGTTTGTTGACGTCCACCACGACCCGAGGATTAGATTTGAAAGAGAAAGAGAAAAACATACAATTAATAATGAAATAAACTTGCAGAATAGAATAAATAATACACTAAAAGGGTAAAGTATTTTTGCAATCGTGTTAGCACTAATTTTGTACATTTCACTTGCACGGATGCATAACAAGTGTCCATGACATTGAATATATTTTCAACGGATTATCTAAGAAATCATTAAATTAAATCTCTGAGAAAATAACATCAATATCATAAACATTGCGTTCAAAAATTCAAATACTGAAAGAAGAAATGTTAACATTTTAACGGAGAAAATTAATTATAGTAGTAAAGACTAAATAAATAAGTAGGTATCTAAAGAGATAGGAAATTTAGAATAGTAATAAAAGAAACTAATACTGAATAAACAAACTTTTACGAACATAAATTTAATTACCGAACTGAATTTATTGATATGTCATTCCTTTGTTAATTATCATCAGACAAATATAGCTTTAATTCATTTTACATAAAGGTTGATTATTCAGCACAGTTCAACGTTTTATTCAAGCATAATATTATAGATAAAGTATGTTACAGAAATGTTACTCTATTTCTTACTGTTTTACTCACCCCTGTTTTCCGGGACTCCTTCCCTTTTTATCCTCGTTGCATCAATAGATTCGTTTTCATTAACATCTGTAACAAATTAAAAAATATTACTCCTAATGATAAAAGTAATATACATATCAAAAACAAAGGATCACAAGAGTTTTATGAATATAGTTAATATTGATTTCTTATATTTTCACGTGCAGTATCCATAAATGGAACAACTTTCAAACGGTTTCATCGCGTTCGTATTTAGTTTTATTGATGTTTCGGAACTTTTACAATAAAACTAAATACAAATGCGATAAAACCGTTTAAAAATCGTTTCATTCATTAATATAGTTAAAAATGTTAATTTATAAGGCTTTTAAGCGTTTTTGTCATATGATATAGGTGAAGAAGTTGTTAAAAGAAGTGTTGACCCACATGCGACCTACATAAACTAACAAAATATCTGTTATATTCTGTGGTTATATTTATTTAAAACCGATTAGATGCCGCAATTATTACATGAAGGCAACTCCGATTTATATAGACTATACAAGAAAAAAAAAAATACATATTTCTATTCCTTAATCCAGAAAGCTACTATTGCTTACGTTCAAAAATATTCCGCCAATGATGTAGTATGAGCTACAGGTATAATAAGTAAAAGCCTACAAAGATATTTAAGTCAACTGAACACCAACATAGAGGTTACAATTTTACAAAAACAAGCAGCCATACACACAACCGCCATACTCAGTAAGGTACTAGAAGACACGGTGTTTTTAAACAATACTGCAAACATACAAGGGCCTACAACAGAACCACTACCACACATACCAATACCAGACATACAAAATTCATCTAACCCATTCACTACAGACACACAGACCGAATAAAGCCGTGACGCCAAGCGCCCTAGCCGTGTTCCGCCACGATGTTCGGTGTCGCCGCTAGTGAGGTTAGATCGAAGCGGTTGCTCCACTCCTCGATGCGGATTTCTGGCTTGTGTCATGCAGGCGGCATCGGGTAGCTGGTCATGGAGGGTAGCGGGATCCGACGCACGGTGCTCCGCTGGCCGACCGCAATTAGTAGGGGGGCCAACTAGTGAGCTAGCCACTCATGAAATGCTGCCACGCCGAGAGCAAAAGGAGGCCGTTTGAGCTGGCCCCCGCATTCCGGGATGTAACCGTACCGTTAACAGACCACCTTGACCTTTTGGTGTGACTTTATCTTCAACGCTCAATTTTGGCTCATACATTGAGTCAAAATCTCAGCTAGCTGCGAAGAAGCTCGGTATCCTCTCGAACGTGCGAGGGTACTTCACGCCGGAGCAGCTGCTTACACTATATCAAGCGCAAGCTCGCACCATTGGGATGGTTCTGCCAAATACCAGCTTGAAGCGTTGGAGACCATCGATAGGCGCGCCAAGAGGCTCATTGGAAGCGACGCTCTTTAGAAAAGAGATTACAAAGTCTTGAGCATCGCCGCAAAGTGACTGGTCTATCGGTCTTCTATCGGTTACATTTCGGCGAGTGTGCATCGGAATTACATGACTTAATTCCGTCGTCCCCTTTCCACTATCATACAACCTGGGAAGTACTGGGAAGCGTCACCGCTTTACTGTGGGGATTCCACAAACTCGCACCAAGCGATTCGCCTCTACATTCATCGTGCAAACTACGAAGCTGTGGAATTCGCTACCGGACTCGCTGTTTCCGGACAAATACAACCTGGGACTCTTCAAGTCAAGAGTGAATCGGTTCCTTCTAGGCAAGCACGCTCCATCTAAGACCATTGCATTGCTTACCATCAGGTGATCTGTGGTCAAGTGCTTGCCTATCTAACAGAAAAAAAACACATCGAACATAAAAAGAGACGGGGAAACATAGATATCCTTTTTCTTACGGGATATTTATGCAACCGACACAAAGTCGAAAATCGACAAGCCGAAACTAATATAATATACTCGTAAATAGGTCTACAGGAGCCATATTAATTCGAACGAGTTATACATAAAATTGCCAAAAAACTCGTCATTACAAAATGGCTATCTAATATTATACCAAATATTATGTGACCCTATTACAAAATCGCTCCATATTATCGCTTGACGTAAATCCAACGCCAAAACTATGCAATCGCGTTACAATTCCGAAACATCTGAAAAACGAGGAAGAGTCTACAGAGTTATCGTGTGAGAAAAAAAAAACAATAGTTCTTTATGTGTCGTATTTTTTTCCGCTGTTTCTCTCAAAGGGAATGGAGTCGTTCACGATGTATACTTTCGTAAGAGAAATTACATAGTTGTGTAAACGTTGGATAACTGTACTTCTAGACAGTTGTTAATACAAGTTATTTGCCAGTTTCCTGATTGGCTTACTGTTGAGTGGTTACTTTTAGTAGTCGAAGAAAACAACAAAAGATGTTATGAAATATTAATTATTAAAAATGAAATATTCTAATGAAGCTGTATTCCTCAATAAGTAATAATCTAGTAAAGCATGTCTATTGAAATTCGTGTAAGCTCATTGGAATAACAAACCTAATGTATTGACTATACATTTGAATGTATATTAGATGTCTTTGGAAGCTCATTGTCTAACTAAACACATTAGTGTATAGAGAAAGTGAATTTACTGAGATGACGTAAGTATCTTTGGAGCCTCGGGGCTGTAATAAAAATATATCTAATTAAGTGATAAAATGGAAATGGCTACTTATAAGCAGGCGAATTCGCAGTAAAATTCATATCCATTCAAATATTATACAGAGGAACGACTTGGCTATTTTGAACTACTGGATAGATTTTAAAAATTCTTCCACCTACTGCACGATACATCATACGCGGGTGCCAGGTTATAATTAATGTAAATAAAGTCACAGGAAATCAACTATGTACCAAGCTCTGATGGCAAAAAAACAAAAGAAACCATCTCGATTTTCATATGGCAATGTTAATTTTCAACTGTTGTCATGTCTAAGTGTAATTTGTTGTGAATATTTGTGAAACAGTACATTTATTTTGTGAAACTTCCCAAAAAGCCATTGATATTTCAAGCTAGAAATATTGTCTTAATGTTTATAGCAAAATTTGTGAAAAGAAGTTGAATAACCAAAATTTTTGAAAGTGTGAATGAATGTGTATGAATTGACTGGTAACTAGTAATAATTAGTCTTGAATAATATTGTTTTATGATGAGTTGAATATGAAATATTCGTAGGAATGCAAGTACCAAAATTATTTGTGAAGGAGAAGTTAAAAGACATTTTCTACGCCGGGGGAAAATAAATTAAACTGGATCTGATTTAGATGTGTAAGCGTAATAGACATTTGTAATATTAGTAAGAAGCAATACATAAAGTATAAATTCTTTTATTTATTCGAGTTAGATTCCGGGACAGGTAAAATATTTTTAATGAAATTTCTTAAAAGGTCCATGGCATTTGGCAATTCGGGCAACTGCTCTGCTGGTCTGATGCCAATCTCAAGGTGCCATGAACCAAGTGGATATTTTCAGTATTTTTCATTAAGAATATTTTTTCAGTATAGCATCGTGAATGCGAAATGGATCAAATACAGGTCAAATATTATTGGGTTTTCTCTGGCGGGTCGGTTGCTGACCAATCAAAATATTAGATAATGGGAATACAGAATGTATGTGTATGTTTGTACACTATTATGTCACACCGAAATGGGTAACTCTATGTCAAAATGTATACTGTAAGGAATTTTAATAGGAATTTAAATTCCTTACAGTATCTTCAAAGCGATGAGTCAGGTTTTAAAAACTTTTTAAATAAAAAAAGATATTACAAGTATCTAGACGTCTTTATCCTTTTTCCCCAGTGTTACCTTTTACAAATTAAAATTTTCCCAATGTGCCAACAGATTCTGGTACAACTATTTTAACTATAGTATCCAAGTATATCTAACAGCATCGTAAGGTTTTGTAAAAAGTTTGATTTCATTAATTTTATTACATTTTAAATTAACACTTTTCCAATGTTCCATCGATAACCGTAACACAGACTAATCTGTACTATAACACATATACTAATAAAATGTAGTTATGTTCCAAATTCAAAAATGGAATCGCTTTCGAATACCTTTGGAATTTATTCACAACGCGTATCCTTTGACCGAGTCACTGTTATTTTCTACGTTCCGCTGACATATTGATATACTAAAAAAAGTAGAAAGCTTTTAGTGTGAGTATATAAGCTTTATTAAACAATTCCCATTATAATGAAAAAAAGCCGCAGAATTCCTTTAAAAAGCTTTCGTGTAAAATAAATCGAACAGTGTGGTTTCATTCGAGAACTCGTCACTTCTAATTGATTTTACTATAATATTACGTACAATGATAATGTTACATAATTTATTTTAAAGTAATTACTTCTGTTAAAAGCTGGAAAGTTTGTTTTTCTTATCAGCCAAAAGATCTGCAGAATGAGTCATTGGAAAAATCAAAAGATGCTTTTATTTAGATTAATTAAGTAGATAGATAATATTATTGTTTCATTGTCGACAGTGGCATAGTAGAAACAAATAAGTAAGTTGACTTCATACATACGCAGCGACAACGGTTTCTATGTGTGCGCGCCTGTGTTTATGTGTCGCACGCATATCATTTAATGCACTTTTTTTTTTATTAACAAGATACGATGACGTTCGTCAGCTCGTGGTCTATATACAAGGAGTAATTAAAAAAGTTGTACAAAAAGCCCTGATTCTTAAACTGTATGGGAAATTTTTTCTGACGATTGAATAATCTTAAATAATCGCTTGAGGCGACTTACTTGTTTCTTTCTACTATGACGACAGGCCGGTGGTCCTAATGTATGTGATGTGAAACGCCTCATGTCTATGGGCGGCAATGACCATGTAGCCACAGTATAATAATTATTCATTAGACGTCCCGGTGTTTCCGTGTCCGTCGGTCAGTCACTGTCGCATACTGTGTCAGTAGAAACTGTCACGTTCCGGTTCAAGCAGACGCTACTTGTTTGAACTACATAGAACTTGTGATTCGTACTTATGTTTGTGCGCTGCTAAAATACTAACCGGTATTTTAAGACAAGTATTTTTAGTTTAAATTAATTTCTTTAGGAGGTATTATCACTTCATCAATGACATGCTTATAGAATTAAGAGAACGAAGAAAGCACTGAAAATTTTACGATTAAATCTTATTAAAAAATATAACCTTTATAGTTATAAATATTGGACAACATCATATACATTGCTGAGATTGCAGGATAAGCACCTAATTTCCTTGTATTTGTATTATCTAAATCGACGAAGGTATAACCAGATCCGAGACAATAAACAAAAGTTCATTTTGTATTTTGAACCGACCGGGATCAAACCTGAGACCTCGATTGCAAAGTGAATGCGAAGCAACTTTCACGAGGGTCGGTCATACGATGGGTGACCAAATAATTATAATCTCGAGCTCCTCAGACCTCGGCCCCAACTACATTTGCAGTCATTAGAATCCACCAATTCTCACTCGGCCCGGTCCTTTGGTCCTTTCTCCCTATTTAATTGCACCAATAAGGAGGAGGGTCTATGTCTTGGCAGTGGGAACATCGATAGGCTAAAAATAACGATTACTATAATGGGTATTACGACTAATTTTTGTTTGTCCGTCAGGTAGATTATTTTAAAATATTAAACACGTATTTATTTATTTCTTTTTGGAATTTTTAAATTACAGCGATACATTGAGTTACTATGTCACATGACGTCACTAAGACACTTGACGCATTGGTACGTTTTCTACAAAACTGTAACGTAGCGAGCCCCCACTCCTCAACTTTAATGCCCGTTATCTAAGCTATTTCTTGTTAAATTGAAGTAAAAAAAATACGCATTCAATATTTTTCTATTATTTGGCTGACGGACTAAATAGAATTTCTTTTTTTACCCAGTCGTCGTCCCTATTTAAGCATACATAAACGTTCTCGTAATACCTATAGGTAGTTCACAAAGAATTCACATAATTAAAAAGTATTCACCCACTGACCATCAAACCTCGTTGTAAATTTATAAGAGAACATTTTAAAAGTTATCCAGTTTTGACTTCCGCGACCGGTATACTGTACAATGGTAAGAAAACCACTTAATTACATAGTTACCGTAGTCGATTAACGCAAAATAACGGTTTATTACTAGACGAGTAGATATCAAATTCGTTTGTCATAAAGTTTCTCGCTCTAAAATAGTTGTAAACAAAAGAGTTTACACACATGAAACTGTCAAAATAGTAATTATTTCTCACGTTCCCCTTTTAAAAATTAATATTGCGGAGTCACTCGAGTAACAGCTTTATCTTTTTAATTATAGGACATAGAATACCAAAGTATCTTATGAAGAAGGTGTTCCAAATTTAAATAACGAATGATGAGATCTATCATAGACGCTTGGGAACTAATACGTACGAAATACAAAACGATTATTTCACATTACTAAAGAAATACCAGATACGATATCGAATACTAAGTATTTTCGTGGGCCAATTTTTTATGGTTTCTTCTTTTTCTTTTTTGTTTTCACTTTTACTTGCCATTGTGAGAAGCTCTAACGAAAGTAAGGTATCTGTGGGTACGGTTGATCATCGTTTTGTAGAAAATATTTACATTCTAAACGCTAGCTCGAGTAAATCTAGAATCTATTATTCCTTTAAGGCATTACTGTAAATATAAATTGATATTGTATTTGTTGTAGCAAAATAATAAACCAGCACTTTCTAGTTATGGAAAACAAACAATTAGATATACCAAAGTCTTCCTGAATCAATAAATCAGAATTGTGACATCAAATCTAGAGTAAATCACTTGGTAGTGCTCGAAACTTGCGTTTCGAAACAAGTCCTTAGCTTTTATGGCGGGAAAAGTGTGAAGGGTAAAAAACGAGCGACGCGAACGGGACAAACATATGTTTAGCTCAGGAGCGAGAGAAGGACAGAAGACGGAACTATGTCAGTGGGTAAGTCGAGTCAACGCGCTTGCACACGCAATATTTATACTTTAAATGCATATAAAATAAGAAAATTCAAATAGACTTCATTTATCAGCAAAATAGTTAATTTTACTTTCATTACTGTAATAGCATATAAAGCTTTTTTATGGCCCTTCAAATTGATTTTGTATTCAAAGAGGAAACTCTTAGGCTTCTAAATACCATATTATCAGAAAGAAATGATTTGGGGAAGAGAGAGAGAGAGAGAGAAAATAGAAACCCTTGTTTATTTCTTGCTGGCTCTTCTCGGTACAAGGCTTCCCGTCAAGATTTATGAAACGTTAACATAGAGTTTTGACTCGCACAAGTTACATTGCTGTATCAGCCTAGACTGAATAAATGTTTTGATTTAACTTCGGAGGTCAAGATCTACTTGGGGTCGATAAACCAGCGAAGTTTAGTTTTAAAATAATTTAGAATTTAGCACCAATTTTTTATAGCAGAAAGGTCTTATCTCCTTCTTTAAAATAAATTCTTCTATGTTAGCTAATCAATCAAAATTGTGAAACAACGTGAAACGTAACAAGGTACAAACAATTTCCTAATTTATTTTAAAAATATAAATAACATGAAAATCTTTACACTTTTATCTTACCTTTAAATGTTTTATTCAAATGACCATTAATTTTAATGGTTATAATACACATTATTATTAAATATGTCATTGAATTCACGTAGTTAAACTAATTACTATGGTACTAACCTAATTATCGACCAAAAAATTGTACTGCATCTTATATAGGTTCTAGACTTAACTGAGTTGCCATTCCTTTTAATGTACAGTATTAAAATTTAAGATCTTGGAAGTAATATAGTCAATGAACTACATACATTTTGAATTTAGAACACTACCTTTTTTTATCCAGCCTTATTCCTATTTACTTGGGGTTATAAGAACTAATTACCTTTATCGAAAGTTTAAAATATTTGTAAAAATATTTTTTTAGGCTGCTTGAGTGGATTGCCTGAACATTGATAAAATATCGAAAAAGTAACAAGTGCTTGAAAAATTCCTCAGTCCTCTTAGGTCCTGGGTAGCAGTCGTATTGCGAAAGTTAACGGGTTGGAGCCCATCTCAAGAGTGCCAATATATAGTATTCAATAGGAATATATCACGTTATGTTTTCAGAGTAGGACCATAGATTAAAAAAAAGAGTGCATCGGCGAGATTTGAACTTCTTGCTCTCAGGGTCAATACCATACCTCTAAGATGCCTTTGTGGGTACCAAAAGAATAAAATAAAACAAATACGTTACACTAATTTCAACGTCATTGACACACTTTTAACCAATCTCTTAAACTGGCATTAGCAGTAGCCTCATTAAAAATTAGATTTATAAGAGATTTGAAAAATAAAAAAAGGAATAGTATAACAAAAAATTCTGACGTCACAATACACGAAATATAACCTGTCAATTTGGAATGTACAAAATGTGACCTAATTAAACACTTGTGTTACCAAATTGACAATACTTTTGTTGTGTAAGTATACCGGTTAACAGTATAAAGATATTATTAGATTTATAGTAAGTACACACAGCATCATGTCAGTAGTGTTATTCTGTTAAAAAAACAGCTCGGACCGCATAGGGGTTCAATCAAATCAAACCTACTTCGCGCTTCTACTCCCGACGTTGCCATCGAATTCGAAGGCAGCTTGTTTCCAGAAAAATATAACTGTTTATCACATTTCGAAATGTCAATTATTCATCATTAACTGTTAACTCTTGCTCTCGATTTTCAAGCAAATACCTATGACAGATTTGTATGAGCTGACGTGTTGTTGGCTGTACTTAAGTTCTGTCTATTTTTAAAAGCCAAGTCTCGTTAAGAAATGGCCTTGTCATACGGAGCTGTCACTTGATAAAAATCACAGCGTTTTTATACTTATGAAAGCTCTACTACTCCGGTCACTGTGACGTGAAACACAAAAAGATTGATATGTATCAAAACCTGATACGATCTTGTAGTATATATTGTAGCAATGAGTTTTGAAGTTTTTTTATGCTAATTTCTCATGTGTTATTTATCTTTCAGGATAAAATATCTGTAGTTATTTTTCTGGCAAATTTAAGAAGTTAACTTTCTTCGAATACTGAGCATACCATATATATTGACATGCAAATAAATCTGACCATACAGCCAAACAAGGATTTATAAAATAAAACCCTTCGTTCTGCCGCTAATATGCTTGAAAACTAAATATTCATAAGAACTACAAAGAAGCAAAAATAATATTGATAAATTTATGGCCCTTTTATTTTATGCGTACAGTTTTTTTCTAGAAGTAATGAAGTTTGGCGCAATATATTCATTCAATGAAAAGAACACCTCGTCATAAGCGCGGGATCGTGGACGTACTGCATGTTCTTGCATATTCAATTTGACTTAAAACTCCGAAAAGCTATTCAAAAGGTGAACCCCAATGTCTAAAACTCTTCGATTTAATGAAAAAGCATTGGTATGCACAGTATTCGAAGAAAGTTAAATTCTTAAATTTGCCAAAAAAATAACTACAGATATTTTATCCTGAAAGATAAAATATTGATAAATTTATGGCCCTTAAATTTTATGCGTACAGTTTTTTTCTAGAAGCAATGAAGTTTTGCGCAATATATTCAATGAAAAGAACATCTCGTTATAAGCGCGGGATCGTGGACGTACTGCATGTTCTTGCGTATTCAATTTGACTTAAAACTCCGAAAAGCTTTTAAAAAGGTGAACCCCTATGTCTAAAACTTTTCGATTTAATGAAATAGAGACATGTCCCAGACAAGAATATAATAATCTTGTGTCCCAGACATGTCTGCATTATTCATTTCTAGGAACAAGTATCTCTA